GCTCCACAACTGGCGCTGAAACTAAGCCGCCTCGAAGCAACCACAAGGTGGCCCAGCAACCGGATACGTACTGACTGTTTTAGGCTTCCGGGCTCCTCCAGGGCTTGTTAATGCTTCGAGTTTGAGATGGTTAGTGTCTTCATTCTAATATCTTCTGATGTATCTGCCTATATCTTTACGAAAGGAGGCCGATAAGCCTGAGTTCTTAGTCCTGCAGTACTCTTCCCCCCTCGATTGAGTCTGTGGGGACCCACCCATGCGGAACCCAGAGTTGGTACTGACTGAGGTTGGCTCCTTTCTTGGGCTGTGGGGGCGGGGGGGGGGGGGNNGGCATTGGGCTTTCGCAGAGGGGTCTCTTCTTTGGGGGTTTGAAAGGGGCTTTAAGGGGGCTTAAACGGGAGCTTTAAGGGGGGCTTGAAGGGGGTCATGAATACTTCTGTCTGAAGAACCCGACATTGGTCCAAGCAGTCCAATATGACAACGCCGTATGCTCCAGGCAGATGCTCGACTTTGCCTTTGCTTCCCATACATGTACCCGGCTGTATCGCCACGTTCGGATTTCCAGCTTTGGGGCGTAACCTCGTCTTATTCCCTCCTCTTCGCTCCTGGTAGAAAGGCTTTGATTTGTTTCTCGTGCAAGGTTCAGGAAAGGGGTTTATGAAATCAGGCCGGAAACGGGCTTAGGGTCAACTTCTGAGGCTTTCGGCAGTAGGCTTTGTAATAATAGCAATAACAATACGAGTAATGATAATCATGTTAAGAATGATGATGATAAGAATAACAGTAGTAGTATAATAATACTTGTACAAGTAGTAATAGCAATAATACTCGTCATAGTAATAAGCATAGCAATAACAATAAGAATAGGTTTTGGGCTGGAGCTTCGGGGTTTACGGTTTGGGCGGTCAGAACCCGTAGAGTGCGGTCTTGCGCGTGAGCGTGGCGGCTGTCGGATTTTCATGTCATGTGTAGGGTTCAGCTGGGAGTTTAGGAATTTCCTGGGAGGGTGTAGAAGTTTAGGCCCCTAGCTTTGAGGACCCCCAACATCAAGAGCCCGTGTAACTTTGCCCCAAAATCCTCGACCCTGCAATCAGAAACTCTATCAAGTATTATCAGTCCTGTCAGCGCTTTCACCCTAATCCTAGAATCTGTCCTAGAAACACTACTGGCGGCCTCGGTATCCACGCTCGCTGCAACCTCAACCCCAAACCCCTGAACCCTAAACTTTTTGGTGGCCTTCATGGCCCTCGGGCTTCGGGGAATCGGGGGTGTCGGAGTTCAGGGTTTCAGCGCCTCCAAGCTTACTATGGATTTGCTGCACGCCAAGCGTGCGTCCCTGGCAGGAGCGTTTACCAGCAGATCGAGAAAGCCGGGGATCGTGGTGCCTGGAGCAAAAGCCTCAAAGATCAGACCAAGCTGCAGCAGCACACGATCACCAAGGCTCGGGCAGATGTTGCGGTCTTGCGGTGTATTTGGGTATATAGATATCTAAATTAGGGCCTCTTTTAGGGTCCTTTTTGTATGGGTGCCGTACTATATTGGGGACCGAAAAAGGGACAGTGATTTAGAGAACATATGTGGTTGTTTGGTTGTGTGTGTGTGTGTCTGTGTTGGTTGGGTGTTCATTCGTAGTGTTTGCAACCATTGTCTCGGTTGGTAGTCCTCTTTACTAGTTAGAAGTGGGTGGGGGTATATTATACTATGATTATAATATGGAACCCCCAAAATTCAAAAGCCCCTACATTAGGTTTCGGGTTCGGACTTCAGGAGGTTCCGGAGTTCGGGTGCACACGGCCTTGGTGTCCGCGCCAGGCAATCAAGGAGTTGCTGAAGCAGCAGCTCATAAAGGAAGTGAAGTCGGCAACTTGATCTGCACAAGCCCGGCCACATAGTTCAGAAATCTGAGAAGTATGCCCTGAGTCCCAATTCCTGAGCCCAAGAGCTATGCCTGAGCGCAATCACATGACGGATGCTATCCGATTTCCGGAACCCTTGAAACCCTAAAGACGAAACCTGTAAACCGTTCCTAAATCTAGACCCATGCCTTGAATACTGCCGACGAGAGCTTTAATAGCCGTCAACTATTAACCCTAGTGTATGCATGGATGGATGGATGAATGTGGTGCTGTACAGATGTATGTACGGATGTGTGTAATGTGCTGTCATGTCATGCCGTTTCTTGGCATACTATGTCATGTAATGTAATGCAAGACAACCAACGTCACGGAAGGTATAGTACAATGCACCGCACTTCAATGCTATGCATTGCAATGCAATGCAATGCAATGCAACATAAAGGCAAGGTAATGCAGCGCAAGGCAACGTCGTGTAATGCAATGCAATGCAGTGCAATGCAGTGCAATGCAACGCATCGCATCGCATTGCCTGTCATGGCGCTCCGCGGCGCGGCATGGCACGGCATGGCACAGCGGTGCGGTGCGGTGCGGTGCGGCGCGGCGCGGTGCGACGGCACGGTGCGGTGGTGCGGTGCGGTTTGTGGCGTGGCATGCTATGGTATGGCATGGCATGGCATGGCATGCGCTCTTTTAGCCAAACATGCCCCACATCCTAATCATGTAGACCCTCTGTACATTTAATTGCTTTCTGACACTACAGAGGGATTCTGCAACACTTTTGTGCTGCCGCAGGAGCTTCGACAGAGCCTGTGTAAAACAGGATAAGACCCTCCGTCAAGACCATTCTGAGCCGAGGCCGCTCAATGCCCTTGAAACACACTCAGCAGCACCCGTTTAGGATTGCACGTATACTGTATACATAACATGTGTATATCATAAATCTCTGTATCACCGAACGTGCAGAGGACAGGCCCCCTTTAAACAGAAAAAAGCCTATGCGAATCTGAGATCGCCCAGGTCCAGAACAGGAACCGAAAGGTCTTCATGCTCATTGATCTAGAGCCTAGCCTGGAGGTCTCAGGAGGCTGGGGGGGCACGGGGGAGGGTATGCTTGGGGGTATAGGGTTTAGGGTAGAGGGCGGATGGGGCGGGTTGGAAACGGTCTAGAGCCGATGTACATAAGGGGTTGTAGGAATCACAGGGTTTGGGGATGGGATTCAAGACTCAGGCTTGAATTGAGAGATGGATCTGAAAAGGACTTTTAACTGATGGGGTTGCGCAGGTTTGGGCGTGGCTTTGTGCAGTGCCTCTTTGGCTTTGTAAGGTGTTGAGAGCATTCATTTGCCTTGGAGAATCATGAACAGCTTCAATGTCTGAGCTCTAAACCTGGAATGTCAGAAGATACTTACAAGGGATCTGTGATATAACCACCAAACAGTCGGGTCTTGTAGGACCCCTAAATCAGGTACCCCCTCCAGCCCAGTACTCCAGGCCCAGCTTGCCGGAAAAGCGCAGCATGCCAGGCACCTGGTACAAGGACGGCGAGTTCAACTACAGCTGGGTGGAGACTTTGAGGGAGTAACTGTGGCTCCAAGAACTGAATTTTTGTGGGTCTAGTTACATAGTCCCGGGCTCACGATCCGTCATTTCGTCAGCGCTTTCCGGTCTACTTGCAGGTACTGCCTCACCTTCATGGACAAGAACCACGGTCGCCCTGCATCGCAAGCTGAGCTTCATCGCTTTGCCGAGGGCTCAGCTCTGGAACCTCCACAGACCCCAATCCTGCACCCAATATAGAGGCCTTAAGAATCACAATAGGGTTCCTTTAAAGGGTTCCTTTAAAGGGCTCTATAAGTAAGTCTATAAGGGTTACTATAAGGGTCTAATGCCAGGCACCTGATATAGGAGCCTCATTCATATTCAAGCATACTCTAGTACTCGAATATATACATACATATATGTATATAGATAGAGAGATAGATTGATAGATGGATATATAGATATATACATATAGAGGGGCCTCAGCAAGTAGAATAAGTATGCTGTACTACTATAGTAACATAGCAGCCTTACTAATTAGAAGAGGGTTCAGGGATATATTAGATTATCACTATTATAAGGAACCCACCGAAGAGCAGTACCAGTCTAGCAGCCTCAACAATTACCAATACTATTCCATAGGGTTCCCTTACCCTGAACCCTGAATCCTAAACCCTTAACCCTTAACCAAAACCCTGAATCCTAAGCCCTAAACCCTTAACCTAAACCCTTAACCCTAAACCCTATTTAAGATAACTCCAGCGGGCCCGCTGTGCTAGAATCTTTAGGGATCTGCGGCTTGAGGCCTTTAGCGTTTTGGGTTTAGGGTTTAGGGTTTAGGGGGGTTTAGGTTGCGGGGAATCCGGCTTCTCGAGCAGGGCTTTAGGGCTTCGGCCTACACAGGGAGCCTAAACCCTGAGGCCCTGAGCCCTAAGCCCCAGGGTTCAGGGTTTAGGGTTCCCTAAACCTAGCAAAAAACCCTAAGCCTTAAGCTTTACACCCCTAAACCAGAAATCCTTACTCAACTCGACCTTGGAGTCGGCAAACTTGTTTTTTTTTCCAAGGTGAAGTCCCCACATACAGGATTACCATACTCTTGCGAAGCCTTGGAGCCTTTCATATCCCGAGCCGTACACCTAAGGACGGGTCAGACATAGGTGGTGCGGGGGTTTCTTTTCTTGGGAATCTAGGAAGTTGCTGCCAGGTGATGCAGCACCCCGGTCCTCAAGTGCCTACAGAGGCCTGGGCGGTTGCCTGTTCGACGACTTTAAGCGCCTAAAGTCGTTTCCGATTTTAGTCCTTACAAAGGGTGGGGGTTGTTGAAGCCGGATGAATGCTTACAGCTGTATGTGTAGGGTTTCGAGTTGTGCTGGAGGTTCGAAGGGCTTTCATCAGCATGAGGAGTAGGAGGTTAATCCAGGTCTCTCAGTGGACATTTTCCCCTTTCTTGTGGTCTTAGGTTCCTTGTAAAACTACCCAGTACCAAAGAGGGAGCCCTTTCTTTTCCTAGGTTACAGGGAGATCCTGGTTATGGAGTTTGGTGTAGCAGCCGGAGTTTAGAACTGCTGGGTCCTCTCTTCTAAGCCTGTGGGGTTCTTCCGTTCTACACCCTACATCTCAGAATGCGTGAGCACTTTCCATGCGTTCCCAGCTCTGCTGCATGTATGTGTATACATGTATGTATGCATTTAAGTACCTGCTATACGGTATACGTATAAGACAGATCCACACAACAGCAGTGTACAGCATGGTCATCACATGACGCAACCACGGCAGGAGGATATCCTCTGTATCATGAAGACCCTGGAGTTGGATGAGGAGCACAAACCCTAAACCCCTAGACCCTAAACCTCTAAACCCTCAACCCTAAACCCCTAAACCCTCAACCCTCAACCCTCAACCCCCAAACCCCTAAAC